TCAAGGGTTGAAGGTGAAGCTTGCCTCTCCAGAAGAACAAATTTTTACTGGTCGATGCTATGTCTCTAGTTTTCCTTAAAAGGGAACCGAAGCCAATATCCTCCTCAGTACAAAAGGAGATGTTGCAAATTCCAAGCGGCAGCAAACCATTTTTTTATATTTCTTGAGTCATGCCTAGGTGGGTCGAAGGTTGCAATTAGAGAGTTGTTTAGAGAAGTTAATCTCTCTTGAAGGAAATTACCCTCGATCTCATATCTAGGCTTGGATCTTTCAACAAGGTTAGAGGTTGACCTTGGGTGGTGCTAGGTTTAAGGATGGGCTATTTTGTACAGGTTTCTGGCTACGGTTGGTTTAGCCAAAATTTTGAGGGGTAATGAGATGCTTATAGTTATTGTGTTGTTTGGGGGGATTGGGTAAAGAGTGGAAGTTATAGTGTTGGTAGAGCATTGAACAAAGTTGAGGGAACATGCAAAGGTAATATAGGGGTGGATTAAGTTATTAGGTAATGTAATGAGCTTGGCATGCCTGAGATTTGGAATATCATTTTTTTGTTTTGGATTTCCTTTCAGAGGTTTGGGGGCTTAACTTATTTTCTTCTTCTTCTTTTTTTTGGGTTTTTTGGTTTTGGGGGGGTTGGGTTTTTGGAGTAGAGTGCGGACAACTAGTGGAGAGCTGAGTGCGTTCCAGGTGACAATAGGTCTACATCAGAGGTCAACATTGAGCCCATACCTCTTTGTCTTAGTTATGGACGACTTAACTAGGCACCTACAAGATGAGGTACCGTAGTGTCTGCTGTTTGCGGACGAACTAGTTTTGATCAATGAGACCCGAAATGGTGTCAAACACAAAGTTAGAGCTTTGAAGGGATGCTCTAAAATCTAAAAAATTTAAAATTAGTCGGACTAAGACAAAGTATATGGAATGAAAATTTAGTAATAATAGGAGCAGAGACAAGTAGTCAAGATTGACGGTCAAGAAATACCAAAAAGACTGCGCTTTCGATATCTTGGGTTGATACTCCAAGAAACTGGAGAGATTGAGGAAGATGTCGCACATATAATTAGTGTGGGGTGGGCGAAGTAAGGATGTGGTACCGGAGTTTTATGCAATCACCGCATACCAATGAAGCTAAAGGGCAAGTTTCACAGTTGTGAAACGAATTTTGCTTTATGGGGCAGAATGTTGAGCGGTCAAGAAGCAACATACCCATAGGACGAGTGTAGTTGAGATAAGGATGTTACGATGGATGAGTGGCAAGACAAAAATGGATAGAATTTGAAATGAATACATTCGAAAAATATTTAGGTGTGGCACCAATAGGCGATAAGATGAGAGAGTAGACTTAGGTAGGCTAGCGATGTGAAGCGCAGACCCAAAACGGTAGCTGCTAGGAGGTGCAAGTTGGTTCAAGTGGAAGGCTCAAAAAGGCAAGGGATAGGCCCAAAAGGATATGGTTGAAAGTAGTGAGAAAAGATATGGGGACTTATGGCCCCACTGCAGAGGGAAGAGGTTTGAGCAAGGTAATAAGGAGACGAGGAGGATAGAATAGAAGGCAATGAGGAGGTTTGAAAGACAATAAGTAGATAAGGAGTGATAGAAGAAAAATTATTCTTATTTTTTATTTTTATTCAATTTCAAAAGATGTATGTTATAGTTCAATTTTAAGGTTTATTTTAGGGTTTTAAGTTTTTTAGGGAGGTTTTTATAATTTTTTTGTTTATTTCATCGGTAGTATTCACAAGTACTATTCACGGGTACTGTTCACAAGGGTAAAATTGTCATTACAAAACTTAAGTTTAAGTTAGGATATATAGGTCATTTTAATCATTGTATGGACATGTAATGTTATTGAACATTGAATTCTAATATATAAGAGGTGTGGGGCCCTGAGTGGGGAATTCCACATAGATTTTTAAAAATTGAAAAAGAGAAAAGCTTAGGCTTTTGGAACCCTAACTTGGAGTATGGAGAAGAAACCATAGGCTTCTTCGACTTGTGCTTGTGTTTGGCTTATTTCTTGTTGATTTTACTGTTTCCCTCAATTTTCCATGCATCACCTTTTCTACCATAACCGTGGACTTGGAAGTTTTAAAAGAGAAGAAAATTTGCACCCAAAAGAAATCGTGATTATGAATACATACCACACTAACACACTATGGAAGGAATACCCATCCCAAAGGAATGTGGCTGAATGTGATTTAGGATTCCTACCTGAACTAGAGGTGTCAACAAGTCAAGGCAAGATTGGGTAGGTTCATGCATGGCTGGTACAGGTGGAGGACCAGCTTCAGCATGACTTGCGGTTGAACAGCCTAGCTTAAGCATGGCTTGATTAAGGGAATCTAAGCTTGAGCATGGCTTAATTAAGGGAATCTAAGCTTGAGCCTGACTTTGCTTAACTTTCTCCACACACAAGCCTGTAAACAAGCAAAGTCAAGCTACAATAAGCCCGTGACACAAGGCAATTTTTAATGCAATAATACAATAACTTAAGCTCTAATTAATTAATAAATTAAATAAACTCAATCATACCCTCGATGAGGCCATAAGTCCCCCATATTTTTTCTCACTACTTCCAACCATGTCCTTTTGGGCCTACCCCTTTCCCTTTTTGATCTTGGTTTATCCATTGAACAAGTTAGTAGGCCCGGCTTGAGAGACTTGTCGAACCAAAAAGTGTTGCTTAAGCTTGGCCTCGATTTGAGTGACTAGTCGAACCAAAAAGTGTTGCTCAAGCTTGGCTCATTGCAAGCCGAGTTGAGCGAGAGCGCTGGCTTCATTTTTTGACACCCCTAATCAGTAGAATGCCTATGGATGTCCTCCAAAACTTAGGCAATATGAGAAACTCAACTTTGATGCTAGCTTAACTAGGAAGATAATCTAGGCCCAATACGTTGTGGTTCCGAGACTTGACCCAAGAAGAAGGCAAAATTCTGAAATGCTATGGCAGCTCGGGGGACAATAGGATAAAGCATCAAAGCCAAGCCTCTAAAATAAGTGTTTTGAATTTATGCAGGTTATCCATTCAGCTAGTAGATATTGAATGTAAATCTATCAACAGGATGGAGGCTAAGGAACAAGATCACTTATTCATGGAAGCAAATGTCAAGATTCAAGATTATTTATGATGCATTGACGTACCCAACATAATCATTTGCAAGGGAGGCAAATGTGATGATGAACCATAGGAGTTAGCCAAGAGGATTGAGTTTTTGGATTCCCTAACATCATGTCACTGCATAAATTTCTATTGATAAGATTATAGTTGTTAAAAAGAAAATGACATATAAACTCAGAGAATAAAAAAAGATGAAAAACACCCACCAATTTTATATCTATTTAAGCAAAACTTACAAACCGTTAACAAGATATTGCATAACAAAAGAAGGTAATCGTTATTTCAAAGTATCTAGGGAATATGTGTACAACTGCAAAAACAACGCAATTAAGGATACAATATATAGCCCTCCATATGTCAAGGAGACCCAACAGAGTCGAAGATGCCATAGATATCAATGCAAAGTAAGAAACCTACCAGGATTATTCATGATATTGGGAACCACAGAACAAATTAAGGCTAAACAACTAAATTGTTTACCAACAAGAATATTAAATGAAAGTACCACAGGAAGTCTTAAACAGGTGATCCTTTTTTACTTCTACGCTCAAACATAAGTCATTAACAGTAATGTGAACGTGTAGCACAAGGTCAAAAGAATGCCCCAGAGGGCATGTATTGAATTAAAGGGGTAACCTGAGCTTGGAAGACTTCAAAATCCTTTAATTTAATAAGAACAGGAAAAAATGTAATAGCCTAGGCCCATAAAAAACAAAGACAAGCGCGAACAACTTGAAGGCTCAGTCAAAAAGTCAAGCGTGATTGGCTTCATTTGATAATCAACCAAAATTTGAAATAATATCAAGATAGTAGAATTTAAGGGACTCCTCTAGAATTAGGATAAACACATGTGCTAGAGAAAGGGTTGCAATGAGGGAGTCACTTAAGATTAAGATAATGCATAATAGTATAAATAGGATCCCAAAGCGTATATGGGAGGTACTTAAATATTATAGAATGCTAAGAGGTGGTAAACAAAAAAAGTCTCGGAATTATCTGGCAGGACAAAGTCAAACAACAATAAGGTCAAAAAAAGAACTCAAAATTTTACAATTCAATATTTTATGCAATATCAACTTTTCACGAGTAGATTTTGAAATTTAACTTGCTATTATTGCATATATACGCAACTTGGAATCTTTCATGCCAATAGACTTAACAAAACGCAAAGCACCATTAGGATGTAATCAGTTTGTTCATATGCTACACCCTTAAATTTTATTTATTGATCTATATTACGAACTCATTGATCCTTTTTTCTCCTCCCCTTTCGTCCTTCTTACAAATTAAAACTTAATATAATCATAATAAGCAATCTCAATTAGCTGTATCAAACTAAGTAATCTAAAATAGTGGCATCTTATTAAGTAATCTCAAATAATTGTATCATATAAAGTAATCTCCGGCACCCCTCAATAATTTTATTATGTTTCGAATCTTTCTTAAAATTTACCAATAACACTCCAAGAATTACAAATGAATATGTAAATGCATCACACCTCTGCTCAGCTACATTTATAAAAATATTTATTTTAGCTCTTTCCTGACAACACGATGAGCGGAATGAGCCATACAAATGACCCATACATTCATGGAAAACGAGAATAGAGTCATCATCATCATCATCATAATCATCAGAGCATGTTCTCAACTATTTGGGGTTGGTTAAATAGAGAACAGAGTAAAAATGAAAAATGAAAAACTGACTTGCTTCATTATATTTCATATTGTTCTTAATTTTCATCTATTTTGGATTTGTGTAGTGCAAGGAGTATAGGAATGCATAAATGACATGCAAGTCAATAAAGTTAAATACAGGAAAGTAAAACTAAAAACTAAAATTCCTAAAGCTAATATAAGTTTTAGCACATGCAAATCTTACAAATTCTCAACCATCGAGCTGCCCAGCTTTTTGTTGGGTCCATGCAAGAAATAATCCTGTTAAAAGAAAACAACAGGTGAATTCCTCAACAGTTCCAATATATTGCCTCATTCCTGCACAATTTTTCTCTGCATATCGCAGAGAGAGAGAGAGAGAGAGAGAGAGCATGTGTGTAAATATGTTATGACATGTTTGCAGGAAACTACGATATCAGAGACACTCCCACTCATCATTGCATTATAACAGATCCACAATAATATTTGCTTAATCCAAAATCACAACATGAAAATCAAATGAGAAATATACAGATGTTAAGAGCTCTTAATATCAAATAGTTAACTCTAATACATACGAAGCTGCAGCGTGGGGAATCATCAGCACCTCTGACATCAAAGAGCAACTCAAATGCATTAAAGCGCGCCCTTGCAAGAAGAGGATATCCTTAGTCTGACTGAAGGGATCTCACTAAAAAAGCCCACTGATTTATGCATTCTGATTTATGCATTTAGGCATGCAAGCATTTAGCCAACGATACCCAGTTATCTAAACTTCTGCAATTTCCCATGTCATACAAAACAGACACACTTGTCATGTTTGTCCAATTTATGGAATTACATGTCTAGTAAGAAAGTAGTGCCTGCAGATCCAAAAAATAAAAATTACCAGTCATGCCCTGACACACATGTGCCATGTCTTCACTCTGTATGTTGGATCGTGAGTCGACACATGTGTGTAGTGCGTTGGGTGCCTGATTTTCTTAATGTATGCAACATGTGTGGCATTGTTATATAGATTTTCCCCCCCTCCAATGAAATTAGACGTAGCATTAAATGCCAAGCCCTTTTCAAGGGTACTAATATCCACTTTAAGATTCATTTATATACTACTATTCCTCTATTGCCTCTACTGAAACCACCAAATGTCACAAAAAATTTCACCCTCTACAAGCAAACCTCGTTCTTGAAAACAAACTAAATGATTAATACTTTTGAGTATGGTTGTTGGAAATGTATTGATGCATTCCTTCAGAGACATTTGTTACTGTCAGACAGCCACAAAGATTCAATCTGGAAATAATGAGTTAAAGACCTCGAAGTCCAAAATACCTTGCAATATTTTACTGCATCTTTCCAGTGCTCCTTTTCGGATGATTTTTTCTTCAACAGTATTAATTGCTTCATATGCTCGGTTGTTCTTTTTTCTGACTTGTTCTTTTACAGTATTACTTTCTACTTTTGTTCATTTCAAATGATGTCATGGGAAAAAAAATGTGAGCTAAGCAATATCACCATGTATACCAAGCAATATCACCATGTATACCAATTATTAAACGCCATATATTTTTTCAGGAAGATTTGCTAACACAAAACAGATTAAGGATTCAGCTAGCAAACTCCAAAATTTAGGAATCACAAATACAACTACATATCAATTTAAAACTGAATAAATCACAACTTACCCATTAAAATTGGGAGTAGTGCAATCTACAACTCGTTCATGATCCTTATCCATGTTAAAGAAAGTGCAATTCTCACAACCCATTTCTCTAAACTGTATATGAAACATGGAAGCATGATTAAAAAAAGAATTCCTTAAGAAGCAAAAAAGGAATTGAACCAACACATTCATAGGATTACCCCACCACATGCATAAACAAATAGCAATCACAAAATAACATAAACTCAAAAGCCAACAACCCCAATATATATAATAGCAAAGAAAATCAAAGATATTTCAAACATAACATCAGCTAGATCCTGAAGAAAATAATTAAGAGAATTTCATTATAAATGAGAATTTCACCACCTATTCCCAATAGAAGGGACAATATTAAAAACAAATTTATTTTTTTTGCTCCGAAAAAAATAAAAAATAAAAAGAATGAAAAGCAAATAAAGAATATGCGGCAAAGGGGAAGAAAAACCAAATTGCATGTGATGTTTATTGCATGTGCCAAAGAAGGGGAAAATAAGAAGAAAATAACTAGAAATATAACCGGACGCATGTGACAAAGAAGGAGGAAATGAGAAGAAAATAACTAGAAATATAACCTGATCATATGTTTTCACAAGTCTGCATCGAAGACAGGCCCTCAGTTCATGCCCAAAACCAGTTGGAACCTGGGCTGCATTGGCCATCGTATATTCGCTCACAAACTCCTGTCCATTCAGTGAATGAAGGTCTTAAAACCAAACAAGAAAATGAAACCCTAGATTTCTCCATGAATAGAATCATAAGTATTAAAACGGGTTTTAGGACTTGCTATTAATTTATCATATAAGAGAGAGGAAGCAAAGGATGTTTATCGATCGATTGCAGAGCTTCAATCCCTTGAATGAATGATGATAGTTTTAAGGGAATGAGACAGGATAGAACACATGACGGAGACGATAGGAAGGCTTGTAAATACCTGCAGCTAAAATGGAAAAGGCGAAAGCGGGAAATGGCAGAGCGGGAGAAAACAAAAACCTCCCGCGAGTTACAGCATTTGAGAGAGAGAGGGGGATCGAAAGTAACGCGAGCTTTGCCGATGAGTGAGAGGGGTCGAAAGTAACGCAAGCTTTTGCCGATTGGTTTATTAGGTTTGTATAAGGCAGTCGACAATGGCGTCCCGCTAAAAATTTAAAAGGGAAAATTATAGGGGTGTGGTTTCCTGCAACCTTAAAGAATTCACGCACCTCAAATTTTATCTTTAACATATAATTTGTGGGGAAAATTTTTTGGGATTATCTCAAATCTATTTTCATATTTAATTCAAAAATTTTAAATTTTAAAAATAATTAAAATCAAATAAATCTATAAATATATGAAAATCTTAAAAATAGACTGTCTCGATAATATGTTGAAAGATGCATTATTTATGGGACTCAAAATCCGTTTTTTTATACATCCATACATGTAAATGTTGAGATGATTAATTACATAGTTTTTCAACATTACAACAACCTTTTCAAATAGAGTTTTGTGGTGCATATGTAATTCTACATTTTAAGGTTGAAACTTTATATAAACTATTTTCAAATTATAGGTATCTTTCTAAAATCAACTTTTTAGATATCTTGTCCTCATTGCTTTTTTATCACACCATAAACCTCAACAATATTTTTTTTTGTATTTATTTTACAATAAAAAAATCAATAAAATTTAAACAAAGCTGTAATTTTCTCAATCTTCCCCAATGCCACTTACATTTGGACAAGCTTTTTATGTTTCCCCTAAGCTTTAAAACTTATGTACTTCCCTTTATCCAACTGTCCATTTTGAATAAAGGGTTAAGATTACCCCAATCACAATGTTACTTTTTTACACTATTTTATTTTTAATTTTTTTTTATAAACTACTTTGACACCAAATTTTGGACGTCCAAGCTTCCATTAAACTCCCACTAGCTAAAAATATAAAAAATATATTTTCAATAAAATAAAATGATCAAAATACTTTCGAAAGATTCTAAAGGTATTGTGGTCATTATATTTTATCTGGGTGCATCCCAATAAAAAAAAAGTGACACGTACTATATTTTATATTCATAAAATTTATATAAAAAAAAAAAAGATTTTGTAACGTCTGATCTAAGATAAAAAACAAGTGACTCTCTTTATCAAAATTAAACAGCTATATGATAAAGGAAGCATAAGTCTTCTATGCTGCAGAAAAAATATAAAAACGCAAACCTTTTCCCTTACATTTTATTCTCACTTTCTCTCTCTACGGGTTCTCTCTACCGACCTCTCTCTTTCTCTCTACTCATCTTCTCTCTCATATTTTCTCTCTACCCACCCTCTCTCTTTTTCTCTCTATCCGCTCTCTCTCTCTCCACACGCCGTCTCTCTCTACTCGCTCTCTCTCTCTCTTGGTTCCCTAAAAATTGCTACATCCGTGACCCCCAATTCATCATAATGGAGAAGCTCCAATCCCTTTTGCTTTGCTTCTCGTTTTTGTCTCTGTCTCTAGCTTCCAACCCAACTGATAATTTCCTAATCAATTGTAGTTCAACCGCAAACACCACTGTGGGAATGGGAGTATTCGTTCATGATCAATACTTCTCACTCAATCTCGGCAAACTCAACCAAGCTTTTACAGCTCTGTTAGAGTCTATAATCGACCCATCTTTTACACCTTCAAGATAAGCGGTCATGGTCTTCATATGCTTTGCGTCTATCTTTTTCCGTTCAGAGATCGAAACTATAATCTCGGATAGTCTGTTTTCTCTATTTCAGACTCTTGGGTTTGAGATCCTCCAGGATTTCAGACACCCCTCAAATTCAACAGTTGTGTTCAAGGAGTATATAATCCGTGTGAAGTCAGATGCTTTGGTCCTCATATCCCAACGTTTGCAATTTTTTTAGATTTTGGAGAGGTGGAGAGAGAAAGCGAGAGAGAGAGGGTGAGGGTGAGTAGAGAGAGGAAGAGGGTAGGAAGAGAGAGGTAAATAGCGAATTTGAGAGAGGGCGAGTAGAGAGACAGTGAGGGATTAAAGTGGTTTTTTGAGTAAGGGGGAGAAGGCCCTATCCGATTTTTCATTAATAAAAAAAAAAAGGGATAACATGTTATTATACAACCTTATATTAGGAAGATGCCTCAAATTATGTAATAAAATAATAGAGTGAGTCAAGCTGATTAGTACGTCAAATAGTGACTCTTGTATAAATCGATCTTCTTTTAGCTAGAGATCAGCTACCATATTCATCTTACAAAAAAACTTAGAGCAATTCACGTAGTAACCTTACACGACAATTGTCAACTATCTTAATTTGATTTTTAATGGCATCTGGCACGATATTGATTTTTAATGGGAGCTACTAGTAGAGATGAATCACTCACTATATGCACCGTGAAGCAATCATCTTGAATACCTAAAAAGAATGCCTTATTCGAATTTTGTAAAATTATTGGACCCGAAACCAAAATATTTAACAAAGGTCCCCACAAGTCCACCATTGTATTTCTTATGACCGTACCACCACCTACCAAACCAGGGTTGCGCAAGCCCAAGCCAACCAGGGTTGTGCAAACCCAAGTGTCACTGGAATTTTACAAAATTATTGGATGCAAAACCAAAGTGTTTAGCAAACACCGCCACAAATCCACCATTGCAGTTTCTTATGACCCTACCACCACCTACCAAACCAGGGTTGTGCGAGGCCAAGTGTCACGTGACCTGAAAAGGGCATTGGGGAAGGGTGAGGAAAAGGGAAATTTTATCTAAATTTATTGACTTTTTTTATTAGGGTAAATACAAAGAAAATTAGTGTTCAGGTTTAGGGTGTGATAGAAGAAGTATTGGGGTAAGATGTCTAGAAAGTTGATTTTAGAGAGATATCTATAATTTTTCCCAATTTTAAAAGGAAAATAATTTCATAGGGCTGTAGCTTATCAAAGTAAGTAAAGCCTCACCTCAAAACTAAGTACAATTCAAGCATTGAAAAACCTTCACATCGATCATCACGACTTGAACATTATGATTGTGAAAAAAAATTAGGATTTCAAGCTCTAAATATAGTGTATATTGTAACAAATTATCTAGATAGTCCATTTCAACCTAAAAATAAAGTATTCACATATCCGCAAGATTTGTACAATTTTTTTTAGTTTCAAAATTTACCATTGGTGTTGGAAATTAATTTTGTAGCCATCATGGAGATTTTATTTGCCAAAGGTGCTTTCCAAATGAGGATTTGATATAAGGCTTTATTTTATTTTCATAAAGCCTAACCCCTATACAAACCTCATCTATTTTAAAAATTTGCTTAGTGATATAACCACTATTTGCAAAACGGGTCGGGTCAATCTAGGCCCGGCCAATTTCTCGAAAGCAGCCACTTGATGCAGCCATTTTTTGCCAGTTAGGGTGGTCAACCAGTTTAATTATTTTGGCCATAAATACTTTTTTCTATATTTTTCCTTCCTTTTTAGATCATATCTAAAATGTCCCTAGGCACAAATTGCTTTTTCAAAATTTATTTTTTTAATATCGTTTGGATGCATTTTATTTGAGAAAAAAAAAATTGTATAAGGTTGCAACCTTAAAATGTAGAATTAAAGATGCACCTCAAAAATCCAGCATAAAAGGTTGTTTGGATGTTGGAAAACCCTCTAATTGATCATCTCGATGTCGAGATGTATAAAACTAAAAAGAAAAAATATTTATAGTCCATGAAACATTGTATCTTGCAACACATTATCTGGACCGTCCATTTTCAAGATTTTCATGTGTTTATAGATCTACTTGATTTAAACTATTTTTATAGTTTAAAATTATGTTATTAAAGATGATAATAGATTCTCAAGCCATCCTAAAAAAAATTTATATCAAAATTACTCCAAATGTAGCTTTTATTTTCTTTTTTCTTTTTTTAAAGATAAAATTTAGAGGTGTGCTTTAATTGGATTATTTGCAATATTATGCAAACCACACTTTTTATTTAATTACACTTTAATATATTGTTCGTATTTTTTAGTAGTTTTTTAGATTTTTTAATATATTGTGATGTAGCTTTGTTTGAAATGATATTATGAGTTTAAAACTGATTTTTAACTCTAGCTGTAAAATTTAAAATTTATAAAATAGTCCAAGATCAAGTATATCTATAAAGGATTAGATACAATGAGATCATCTACATTTGGTATAAGGAGGCTACAATTAGTTATGACCATCCGATATGAAATCTAATAGTTTGGGTGTATCACAAAATTTAAAAAAATTATTTTAAGAACTTGGCCAATGGAATAAAGCAGCCACTCAATTTCACATCCAATGGTTAATATTAATTGTGACTACATTGTACCTAAGGTAGGTAGTCTCATTGTATACTTTCCCTATCTATGAATACTTGAAAATCTTGAAATAGAATGTTCTAATAGTTTATTATAAGATGCATTTTTTAATACTCGAAGTGTGATGATCAATTTCAGGGTTCTCTGAATTCAGAACACTCTATTCTAGAGAACTTTTTAGTTATAGGGAAAATTATAGATACCTCTCTAAATTCAATTCCTACCTCTCAAAACTTTTTGTTTCCCACCCAAAACCACAATACTAATTTTTTTTACATTTACCCCCTCCCCTCCAAATCAAAAAGTAAATGAGTTTAGGATAATATTACTCTTACTTTCTCTATTCTCCTCTAGTTGGAGTCGTGTGACTCTCTCTCTACTGTCACACACTCTCTCTCCCTCAAAGTAAAACCCATTATATCTCTCCCTCATTCTCTCTCTCTCTGTCTCTAGCAATGAGGTCCGGCACAAAGGGTGCCTGACCGACTTTTTTTTGCGGTCCGGCACCTAGTGTGTCGGACCGTATTGAGTTACAGTAATGTGGCTTGTAATGTAGTGTGCCGGACCGGATAGATTTGAATTAAGTGTCAGACGACAAAAAAAATAGTTTTTTGGAGGGAGAGAGAAAGAAATAGATGATATGGATTTTTAGAGAGAGAAAGAGATGATATGGGTTTTTACTTTGGGAGAGTGTGTTGGTAGAGGCAGTGTGGGTAGAGAGAGAGTCATGTGACATACAAAGGGAAGAAGAGAAAAAGTATGAGAATTTATGTCTTAAATTATTGACTTTTTTATTTAGAAGTAAATATTAAAAAAATAGTATTGGAGTTTAAGGGGGGATACAAAAAAATTTCGGAATAAGATATGTAGAAAGTTGA